CTAATAAAGTGAATGAAAGTTGGAAAAGAATTTTGTCTGTCCCCTCCCTCCCTCTTCAGAAGGCCTGATAATTTGTGTAATAAGAAAAAAAGACGGAAACATATCTCACTATGGTTAGCAGTGGTCAGACCTGTGACTGTGGCTGTTGGTATTGGTTACATTGCTGATTTGGTAATTATAAAAAGCTGAACAATTTGGTGGATTTCAGATGGGACTTATTAGAGGATTGGAAAAATAAGGCCTATGTCTTAGTTGATTTGGGCTGCTATTCTAAAATACCTTACGGTAATTTACTTTTATTTTTATTTTTTTATTAATAACTTTGCTAGACTGGATAGTTTATAAAGAGCATAAATTTATTGCTTACAGTTCTGGATGCTAGTTAGTCCAAGATCAAGATGCCAGCAGATTCAGTGTCTGATGAGGGCTAGCGCTCTACTTCAATGATGGTACCTTCCTGCTGTGTCCTCACATGGTTGAAGAGGCAGAACAAGCTCCCTCAGGCCTCTTTTATAAGGGCACTAATCCCACGCATGAGGACAGAACCCTCATGACCTAGTTACTTCCCAAAGGCCCCACCTCATAATACTATCACCTTGGGGATTAGGTTTCAACATATGAATATTGGGGGGACACAAATATTCAGACCATAGCAGGTTAAAGTACCTGAGATTCTTAAACATAAGGAGTAGAAGCTTAATGGTTGCTCTGAAAGGAGAGTCTTTACCGTCCTCTAAGTAGTATTTCAAAACATCATGCCTTAGTAAGTTGATAAGAACAAATGACAAAGTCATTAATAATATAGTCGCAGAGGATAACATAGTATATATTGCAGTGAAAAATAATAGGAAATAGTATTGTACTGAAACAATGTTTTGGACTCCCTGGGCTTCAGTAGCTACTGGGAATATAGTACTCTGTAAGATTTATAAACACCAAGTATAAGATGCTTTTATCAGGTCGTGAGTTTATCTGATGAAGGGCAAGAGAAGGGAAAGACTTAATGCCTGGATATGGTAGGGAGTCACAGAGGTCAAGTTAATAATTTGCAACTCTCTCCTTGTGGTCTATTAAAACTATCTCCAGCACCACCATCTCTGGCTTCTTTTGATGTACTATATATACAGTGATATTACTATCTGTGTTTATTTTCTAAAATCTTCTTTGAGATTGGTCCCATAGAACACAGTGTTTGAGGAGTGATGAGGGATAATGACTTTTTTCTAAGCTTTCTTTAGTTGGCCCTGGTTGGGACCCTTGAGTTGATTCTTTGCCTTCTAGCTTGGCGTGTTGGGAAAGAAAAGGTAGGAACAGCAACATTCAAAAACTGCAGCAGTTTACAAAATTTCTCTACGTCAGTTATCTGGATCTCAGCTGTCGTTCACACAACTCCTTGATTTATGGTATGGATTGGCCTAGAAAGGTGTGCATTGATTCCCTAGTACTTAATCCAGTCTTTTTAGACTTGAGGACTCTGAATTGGTAGGACTTGAGTTTGCCTATGGTTTTTACACAGACTAGGTCATTGGATCTCAGATTTTAACATGACTCTAGATGGCCCTGGGAGCTTGTACACTTATGGATGCCTGGACCTCACTACAGACTTACTCAATCAGAATCTTTCTGAGTGGCGTTTTAAATATATATTCATTCATTTAATTTTTTATTAAGGAAAAATGTAAACATATTCAAAAGTAGATGGGAAGTATAATGGACCCCTACATACTCATCATCATGTTTCTATAATTAATAATTTCTGGCTAATCTTATTTTACCCATATCCCTGTCCACTTTCTCCTCTTCTGTACTATTTTGAAGGGAATTCCAGATTATTATTTCATTTAAATGTGAAATGTTTGTATTTTGATAGGTTCCCCAGATGATTAAAAAACTTTCCGAACAAGTAATACATGTATGCAGTAAAAAATGCAAGTGGTAAAAAAGGATGTATAGTGAACACTAAATCTTTTCATTGCTCCCAGTATTCTTGTTACTCTCCACTAAGGCAAAGAAATTCCCTTTCTTTATGCATCTACAACATGCAATATATATATATATATGTATGTAGTTCCCCTTTTTAACTAAACACATGTGGTAATATTTATGTAAATTATGTACGTTTCCGAATCTTGCTTTTTTCATAAAGCAATATTATGTTGGGAATCAGGCCATAACAGGGTAAATAGCATGTTTTTGTTCTTTTTAAAGACTAGTTGGACAACGTAACAAGGTATATTTAACCAGTGCCTTTCTGAGGGATGTTTAAGTTATTTACAATTTTGTGTTGCTTTACACAGTGCTGCAGTGAATATTCTTGTACTATCTCTGAATTGAATTTCTATGTCAGAGGGTATGTCCATTTGCAATTTTGTTAAATATTGCCAGTTGCTTTCCCACCATCTATGTATGGTATGCAGGGTTCTTCTAGACTTTTCATGTCTCTCCTATTATTTTCATGCTTTTGTTTAAATCGAAAATATATTAGCTGTTTCAAAATTTCTTATCTGTGAGCTTTATCACCTATCTCTTTGAATATATGGGTATGGGTTGTAGAAGTGGTTTGAAAATGAGAAGAATCATGGCAATGTTAAGTTATTGAAGATAAGGTTGGGAAGCCTCACAGAAGTGCATTGATGGATGAGTTTGATATGTTTGGAAGGAGTTTTCAGCATGATTTTGTTGAATTGGTGAAGTTTTGAAGTCTCTTCCTGAGTAAAGCTATGGAATAGATGCCAATGACCTTTTAAGAAAATAGATCAATTGGTTTGGAAATCCAGGATTTCAATTAAGATTTTCTCTTATTCAGTGAACATCAAAGTCTTAATTTGTCTAACAAGGTTTGTAGCTGATTTCTTACTAAGGTCAGGACAATTTAGGAATGTGGTGGATAGTGCATCAGAAAACTTGTAGGAAGTTGAAGGAATCATAAATTTATGCCTTTTATCTGAAGGACTGTGTCTTGTTTCTTTTACCACACCTTAGCTATATGACCTTGGGCCAGTTACCTAGGCCCTCTGAGCTTTAGTTTTCTTAACAGCAAATTGGGAAGATATTGCTATAATAAAATATTGCAGATAAAGCATTTATTAAACTGTTGCATAGTAAGTGCTCAGTAGGTGGTAGCTCATATTATTTTTAATATCATAGACATTACTTATTGTGATGGTAATCTGTTGTTTCTGAGTTAAAGAACTGATGCTTGTGATTTGTTAAAGTACTAGGAGACAGCACAGTTAATACAATACATATTTTTAAGTGTGGAGAATGTAGGTATATTGAAATTAATTCAACCAATCAACATTTTGTTTCAGATCTAGAGTGAAAGACATACACACTGACAGTTACAATGTAATGTCATGTCATGTCATGAGTGCAAGTGAGAAGAATATATAGGGACTTCTATGAAAGCATTAAATGCCCGTCTCTGCCTGGAGGGGGAGTGGTGAGTGAGTATGTGTCAGGAAAGATTTCAGCAAGAAAATATTGCATTAGTTTGATCTGAATCTAAAGGAGTTTGTTAAGTGTTCAAGAGCAGATGTGCAGAAGGACATTAAATAATAGAACATCATGTGAAGTTCCTAGGTCTGGCTCATCTGCTTATTTTTACAATTGAACATTTGTATAAAGATTTTACCTTTAGGGAAATTCTAAGATAATTTTTGTGCAAGTGGAAAACATCGAATATTACTTAAAGTAATGATTCTGTCAAATTGTTATTTTGACTTACATTTACGTATTATTATGAGAGACCAAGTAGTTGGATGGTAAATTGAATACCTGTGTAATGAACAGTTTTTCTAGTTGTGGTACTGAGGATTTGTTCTTGTTTTTGTTGGGGGGTGTGTCTGTGTTTGTGTGTTTTGAGTTCCCATATACAGGTCAGCAGTTGCTGGATTGATTTCATATTACATGAATGTTAAGTTGGTAAAATAAAGTCATAAAATCAAGTGTACCAGTATAAAATGTTAGATCCTTTTTCATGTCTATGTTAAATCTGAATCAAATATTTAGAAAATCATTATGCACTTAATGGTCATGTAGTCAGAATGTTTGGTATTTTGTCCTCAATAAACTTAAATCCTTTAAGTTTTTAAATCCAGGGATAAAATAAATATAATGTCATTTAGTCTTTGGGAACTTTAAGGTGATTTTAAATAATCTAATTTTTGAATATAAATGAACTGAGAGGCAACATGAGTCTAACTGGATAGAAAGTCATTAATTTGTGTAGTATGATGCCTTTTAGGGTCAAAGGATAATATATTTAGTAAATAGAATCAGCTATTCATGGAATGGGCATCTTCATTTTATTTAAAATCCCTACCAATACATATTTTGAAAACAAGCATAGTTATTTTTTTTTCTTCGTGAGGCAATTCTTGAGCTTTAGGTTTTAGGGATATGACTGTAAACTATGTTTATCTAATGAGTATTATTGTTTCTTGTCATTTGGTTCATAAATTTTAATTTGGTGATAGAATGCTTCACTTTTGCCAAATGTGTATGTAGTTTAAGGATCTGTACTTTTCCTTGTGGGTGAAAATGACTGGCACAGTTTTTAGGGCATATCTTGGCCATTGTAGCTGCCCATCAAATATTTACTGAATAAATGAATGAACTCAACTCTTTATTCTCAGCCTTTTTATTCAGTACCCAAAGTAGCTGAAGCACTAATTAACTAAAGTGGAGATATTAAAGATATTTATCTTCTCTAAAGAAAAAAAATTCATCTTAATGGAATTTAATTATTTTTAACAAAATTATGGATTGCCCCTTAAAACTTTTCTTCCTGAGATTTAAAATAAATTAAAAAAAAATTATTATTGTTTTTTTTATTTTTTTTTTGGCGGCGGGTCGGAATGGAAATCTAAACTCTTGATCTCGAGTACTCTATTTGTTGTGACAATGTCCTCTAGTACCAGGGACCCTTTTGCCACCTCTCAATTTTGTTGTTCTTAATATTTCCTTTCTGTCTCTCTCTCTCTTTTTTTTTTTTGCAGGTATGGCCTCACAAGTCTTGGTCTACCCACCGTATGTTTATCAAACTCAGTCAAGTGCCTTTTGTAGTGTGAAGAAACTCAAAGTAGAGACAAGCAGTTGTGTATTCCAGGAAAGAAACTATCCACGGACCTATGTGAATGGTAGAAACCCTGGAAATTCTCATCCTCCCACAAAGGGTAGTGCTTTTCAGACAAAGATACCATTTAGTAGACCTCGAGGACACAACTTTTCGTTGCAGACAAGTGCTGTTGTTTTAAAAAACACTGCAGGTGCTACAAAGGTCATAGCAGCTCAGGCACAGCAAGCTGAAGTGGAGGCACCTCACATTGGGGCGTGGCAAAACAGGTTAAGTTTCCTAGAAGGCCCCCAGCGATGTGGATTGAAGCGCAAGAGTGAGGAGTTGGATAATCATAGCAGCGCAATGCAGATTGTTGATGAATTGTCCATACTTCCTGCAATGTTGCAAACCAACATGGGAAATCCAGTGACAGTTGTGACAACTACCACAGGATCAAAGCAGAATTGTACCACTGGAGAAGGTGACTATCAGTTAGTACAGCATGAAGTCTTATGCTCCATGAAAAATACTTATGAAGTCCTTGATTTTCTTGGTAGAGGCACTTTTGGCCAGGTAGTTAAATGCTGGAAAAGAGGGACAAATGAAATTGTAGCAATCAAAATTTTGAAGAATCACCCTTCTTATGCACGTCAAGGTCAAATAGAAGTGAGTATATTAGCAAGGCTCAGTACTGAAAATGCTGATGAATATAACTTTGTACGAGCTTACGAATGCTTTCAGCACTGTAACCATACTTGTTTAGTCTTTGAGATGCTGGAACAAAACTTATATGACTTTCTGAAACAAAATAAATTCAGTCCCCTGCCACTAAAAGTGATTCGGCCCATTCTTCAACAAGTGGCCACTGCGCTGAAAAAATTGAAAAGTCTTGGTTTAATTCATGCTGACCTCAAACCAGAGAATATTATGTTGGTGGATCCTGTTCGGCAGCCATACAGGGTTAAAGTAATAGACTTTGGGTCAGCCAGTCATGTATCAAAGACTGTTTGTTCAACATATCTACAATCTCGGTACTACAGGTAGGTGACAGCTACGTTTTGGTCATTTAATAAATGTTGAATTTCTGCTAAATGAAATTTGTGTTTATATGTGGCGAAAGAGACTACTTTGGTTAAAAAAGGAAATCAAGACAAGATCCATTTGATTGAGGTTTAAAAAAATTTAAAAAATCTAGGCATAAAATCTGCCCAAACAGAATAGGAATCACCACTGCAAAGTTACATGCCAAAACATCTGGTTATTTTAATTTTTTTATCTTATTTTTGGTGGCTGGCTGTTACAGGGGTCTGAACCCTTTGACCTAGGAGTTATAACACTGAGCCAACCTGCCAGCCTATTTTTATTGTTATTAGAAGACATGAAGGAATGATAGGAAACTAATGATCAAACAGAAATCTTTAAATGCTGGGAAAGTGTTTATATATAGTAATTTTTATATGTGTCTTTGGGCATTTCAACATTTGAGAGAAATAGTTTATTAAAGACATAAGCACATGTAAATGAACATTTAGAAAAATTATAATAATTCAAAGAATTATTATTTTTTTTAAAAGATGACCGGTAAGGGGATCTTAACCCTTGACTTGGTGTTGTCAGCACCATCCTCACCCATTGAGCTAACTGGCCATCCCTATATGGGATACGAACCCGTGGCCTTGGTGTTATCAGCACCACACTCTTCCGAGTGAGCCACGGGCCGGCCCCAAAGAATTATTTTGATTAATGATTTCAGGATTCAGATACACTTCCATGGCTGCCATGAATGTTTTGGCCATCTTTTCATAACCAGTTTTATTATGGTGTTTCTACATGTGAGGGTACTTTAAAAAGTTCATGGAAAACTATAATTAAAAGGTAATATGAATCTTTCCATGAACTTTTTGAAGACCCCTTGTATTTTGGTGTTGGTGCTGTGGGGAATTTACAGAAGGCAGTGATTTCCATGTAAATATTGATAATAGTGCTACAATGTCGTGATTTATTTAACACTAGCCTGAAAGTACTATAGACAGTCTAAGGGGCTAGCTAGTGATTACCAAGACTCAAAATACCAAAAATTTCTTGAGTATGAAAAATTTTTTTACATTCATAGTTTCATAATTTTGAGAATAAATTATTTTCATTTCAGCCTGAACAAATTTATGGTCTTGGTGTACTCTAGAGCCCCACGAGCCTCAACAGGATGGGCAAATGTAGGATCTGCCAATATTGGTCACTCATAAATTGCTAAATAGATAAACACATGCTGTTTATTGTTAGAAATTGTTAGAACATGAGGGTTATAAATTTAGGCCAACAAGGGTAGTTATTTTCTGGTATTGCATCTTGTCTTTGCACTATACCTGATTATCCTTCTTGCAAGTACATATTGTAGTACCCAGGACAAAATAAAGGAAAAATTTATTAGCTGCTTGAAAAATCAACTCTAAATATATGCCCTACCTTCAGTAGGTCATCAGAAGGAATTCCATGTATATGTCACTTAGTGAAAATTAAGTTTATTAAAATATGTGTTAGGAATTAGGAATATAGCCTCATTTAGCCTTAGTATATTTCTTTTTTTTTTTTTGGAGGCTGGCTATATGGGGATCTAAACCCTTGACTTTGGTGTTATATCACTGAACCCTTAATGTATTTCTGATTTTATGGTTTTTAGTATTAGAGTGCTAGATACTATTTTAAAAACTTTTTAGATAGTTTAAGAGGTAATTTGCTGTTGTAGCAGGGTAGCAGCTCTTATTTAATGTCACATAGTTAGATATACCTGATCTTCTGCCCCTGACAAAATTTTTTTCAATTTAATGAAATATAAGATTAGCTTTTAGTTAATTTTTTTCTGGAGAAATTATTTTAAAATTTCATTTAATAGCTTTAGAAGAAGAGTGCTTTTTCCTCTTTACTCTATGGATTCTGTCATAAGAGCTTTTAGTAGTTAGCTAGCATGTTATATAAACTCCCAGGCTACAGCTGCTTGGGCCCTATGTTTAGTTCACTTGTTAGTAAATGACTTCACTTTATTTGGGTCCTGCATTATTCTGCATATCAGATTTAGTTCCATGTAATTCCTAGCCTCCTTTTCTTTATTTGAAATCTTTTAGATGAGAGTTTAAAAAACCTTATTTATTTTTTATTCTTGAGAATGTCTATTGGTTTACTAAATGTTTCAAGAGAGTTAAGGAAATCTTTTAAAAAGCTTCTAAAATGCTAACCATTTTATGATACTGGTTTCTGGCATTAGGCCTTTGCACAAATATTATCCTCTGTGTTGGGAATGAAAAAAAAAGCTATCAATAATTGCTAAGTACAATGAATAGTTTCTAATTTGTGTTTGTACTCATATGTAAGTTACAGGTAAGTAATTTACCCAGCTTTCAGAAGCTATGTAGTTACTATGCTAAATTACAGGTTCTGTGTTTGGAGTAAAAAAATTAGGTTCTTGGGCCGGCTGGGTGGCGCACTGGAGAGTGCGCCGCTTGGGAGTGTGGCGGTGCTCCCGCTGAGGGTTCGGATCCCATGTGGAGACCGGTTCCCGCTCACTGGCTGAGTGTGGTGCGGGCGCGACACCGAGGGTTGCGATCCCGTTGCCAGTCCCCAGTACGGGCACGACACTGAGGGTTGCGATCCCGTTACTAGTCAGTAAAAAAGACAAAAAGGAAAAAAAAATTAGGTTCTTATTTGTAAACAAAGACTGGTGCTAGCATTTTTGTTGATGGTGCCTGGATAAAAAATTAAAAATGGACTTTATGTCAATTAGATTCAAGATTAAGAAGAGTTAGTAAATATTAAGGTAGATTGTTGAAAATGTAGTATAGTTCTTAATCAGATACTGTTTTAATATCTAGTGTAATTTTGCATGAGAATGGCAGATAACCATTACTCTCTTTCATTAATTGTTTGTACTTTATATTTGGAACTCTACCAATTCTGGCTTAGCTTATGACTAGGTTACTTATAAATCTGATTAAGGAATAAGCAAAAGTGTCATACTTGATTTTTCACCCTTTGTTACAAATGTATTTAAAAAATGAAAGCAGGAAGTGGATACTTACCAAGTTAAATATTTTTGAATTAGGCATAGTAGGAACAGACGTACCTCTGTCTCCAAGGTAAATGACTTGGGTTTAAACACAGGTTCGTGGTGCTATTCTATTTCTTTGAACTGTGCAACACAGAAATGTAGTAGGGATATCTTAAAATAGATGGGGGACAGCGGCCAGAAATTGTTGACTACTATAGATGGTGAGGCTGTCTAGCTCTTGTGGTGATAGAAGCCAGAAGTACATGCTAAGGGCATTGATTTGCTCAAGGTCAGCATGTTCTAAATTCAGCTGCTTGAGTATGGTTTCTGTCAAGAACACGTAGGGCTATTGAATGCATAAAAAGGTTTTAGCAGCAGAAGGTGCTGTATTTATGAGGTGTGGTGGCAATATTCAGGTCATGAATTTCTTTTTCTTTTTTAATTATAGAATTTTAGCCTGTGGTTCTGAGACAGGAACGTGGGCTGTAAAGTAACCTGTATAGCAGTTACATTCTTTGCTACTTTACTGAGTAATTTAGCATTAATTGCTTTGAAATTAAAGAATGCTTTCTATTTTGCATATAACGGTTGACAAAAAGGTATATAATGGTAAACAATTAATTTAGACTTGTCAGTTCTTGTTTAGGACATTCCCACCTCACATGCCTTCTTAGACCCTGAAGCATCAAAGATAAAGTTCCTATAACAAAATTAACTATATAGAAAGACACATAAAATAATAACTAATATTTTATATGGGGTACTTTATAAGAGAACACCGTGTATATATACTGCAGCGTATTTTTTCTTTTCTTTCCAAGTTCCCTAAGAGCTGGAAATGCTTCCATTTTTTCAAAGTGCTTTTCCTTATATTTCCTAGTTTCTTTCTCTCTTCTCATCTCTATGAGCTAGGTAAGACAATTGGTGCCATTCCTACTTGATAAATAGAAAACTGAGACTTATAGAAGTCCGGTCCAAATTCATACTGATTTAACTCCACAAGTTTTTGTTGAACCCCCACTTTTTAAAAAAAACTTGTTGAGCCCTTTTTTGTGGGCTGGCACTGTGGTACGTGCTAAGGATACAGAAGTGATTAATACGTGTTCCTTAATCATCATGTACATTATTAATGATTTCATCGTTTAATGGAGGAGGAAAATACATTTTTCAAGAGATGCTAGGGTAGAAGTATGTTCAGCGTGCTATGGGAATCCAGAGCACTTAGCCTGATCTGAGGGGCAGAGAAGGCTTCTGAGGAGAAATGATCCCTGAATGAGCCTCCACAGTAGGGAAGGAGCCAGGATTGACTAGGTCTTGAGAGCATTCTCTCTCGCTAGCCCACCACCCTTCACCTAAAAAAATCTCAGTATTGGGCTGAAATTGCTGATAATTTCTTCTCTATATCATAAAATAGTTATTTTTGTTTGGGAATTTTTATTAGACAAATATAACATTGTCAACTGAGTATAATTTTAATAGAGGATTATGAAATTTTACAACGAAGTGGTTTTCAATGCCATACATTGTGGCTGCAGACATAGTACTGTACTTTACCACATAATAAAGTGCTTTACATAGACATAGATTGCTATATATATATTAGCTTTGTATTAGAAATGCTGGCAGAGCTCTTTAAAAAAAAAGACTTTATTGAGATATAATTCACATACCTTGAACTTTGTCCATTTAATGCACACAATTCAATGGCTTTTAGTACACTCACAGTTGTGCATCCATCAGCACAATCAATTTTAGAACGTTTACATTACCTGAAAGAAATCTCTGCACCCTTTAGCCATTGTTCCCCAATCTCCTTATCCCCCCCTAACCCTAGGCAACCACTCATCTACTTTCTATCTGTATAAATTTGCCCATTCTGAACATATCATGAAAATGTAATCGTACAGTATGTGGTCCTTTTTGACTGGCCTTTTTTCACTTGTAGCATGTATTAGTACTTCATTTCTTTTCATTGCCAAGTAATATTCCTTTGTATAGATA